CGTGTAGCCGCGTGGCAAGGGGTCCGACCTAGCCGGCATTTAAAAATGGCGCCGGCCGGCTTTATGCAAATGAAGCCCGGGAAATTCAAATCCCGGGCTTCATTTGCAACTCCATATGACTACACTATCCCCCCTAGTTCGAACTAGGGGGGTAGTGTAGACATACCCAGAGAGACTTTCGTTCTTTTCCCCTCTCTTTATTGTCAACAAAGAGCCAAGGGGTCCGACCTAGCCGGCATTTAAAAATGGCGCCGGCCGGCTTTATGCAAATGAAGCCCGGGAAATTCAAATCCCGGGCTTCATTTGCAACTCCATATGACTACACTATCCCCCCTAGTTCGAACTAGGGGGGTAGTGTAGACATACCCAGAGAGACTTTCGTTCTTTTCCCCTCTCTTTATTGTCAACAAAGAGCGAGTGTAGACACTGCCAGTTTGTTCTGTCATCAGAACTGGCTTCCGCCTGTGTCCCACAGTGCCTGCCCTGCGGGTATGTGCTCCTCCCCTTTCAAAGCACCAGAAGGATCTCACAGCTGAAGCTCATCAGAGTACTGTGCTGCAACTTTCTGGCTCCAGAGTGTGAAACCCACCCGCCTGAATACAGCAAGTTAAAGTGCCTATGTAAACAGGGTCCTAGCAGAGCCTCTGTTGTTAGCTACTCCCCTCATGAAGGTAGTTTACATAGAGTGCTGAGAGCTTTTTGCCATGGCCACACTTCCACTTTAAAGCACTGCCAGCTGCGCTTTAGTTTCAGAAGTGAAGAGAAACCCTCAGCATGCTGCTGTTTGGGGAACAGAGAAAAATCACTGGAATGCTCCTGTTCTGCCCTGCACTAGAAATGCAGTGGCAAGCAGATTGCTATTATGGGGAGGGGGAAGAGGGTAGGAAGGAGAGGCCTCTACTCATGGGGGCGGGAGACCTGCTTGGGGAGAGAAGGGGTGCAAAGGAGGAGGGTGTGTGTGCACACCACCAATGAATGCTCCCCCTGCCCATATGGCAGTAATGGCCATGCTCCCTAGAGGGTGCAGCCTCACTCCGAGGAGTGTGGGTGTGGGGTCTAAGGGGTGTTGAGTGAGTGAGTGGAGGGGTCACGGGGCAAGAGGGGCTATAGGGGGCAGAGGTTAAAGGGTCAAAGGGCAGGTGAAGGGGTGGCGGTCAAAGGGTGTTAGGCACTGGGGAGCAAGGGGCTGGGTTGGAGCTAGGAGTTAAGGGGGGAGGGTTGGGGCTGAGGGAGGGTAGAGGTCAAAGGGCAAGAAGGGGTGGGTTGCAGTGGGTCAGTGATTATACAGCCAGGTGCAGTGCAGCTTGTGCTTCTGTCTCAGGGGGCAGCTGGTGTGAGGGTGTCTGAGCAGGGTTGGGGGGCCTCAGAGCTTGTGGAACAGGCAGCTGCAGGGTCAGTGAGCCAGTATCAGGGTTTGGCGCAACAGTCAGTCATGGGGTTTGTGGAGCAAGGGACACCGGGAGTAGTGGGGCAGAATCAGGGAGCATTGGGAGTGGTGGGGCAGGATCTGGAGAAATGGGTGGTTGTCAGTTTGAGTCAGGCAGGGGTCACTAGGACACAGTGTCAAGGTGGATAGTGACAGTGGATTCAGGACAGGCTCCAGGCAGGACAGAGGTGATTGACAAAAGGAAGTTGGCAGCAGGGAGTGTTGAAGTGGGAGACAATGGGCACTGGGGTGACAGGCTTGGCAAGAGAGACTTGTGAGGTAATGCAATTACTGGGCTATAGGAGATATCAGATGATTGGCTGGGCACGTTTAATAATACAGCGACACAGAGTACCGGGGTTGGCTGGATGAGGTCAGAGGGTTCAGGGATGGGAGGTAGAGAGATGTGCAGTGACAAGACTGGGTAAGCAGGTGAGAGGATTGGTAGACAGGTAACATTTTATTAGCAAGTAAGATGTTATCAGTCTGCCAAAAGTTTGGGAATGGGTTTGCTGGTCCGCGCTATAAAAAAGGTTGGGAACCACTGGCTTAGACTAGGGATATGAAGGACTAGTCGACTATGAAATGCCGGGCAGAGCCTGACACCGGACTCCCATGGCACTTCAAAGTGACAGCACTGCAAGGAGGCTGGGATCAGCTGATCCTGGGCTCCACGTGGAGCTGCCACTTTGGAACGCTGGGAGGAGCCGGATCCTGCGCTCCCACAGTGTTTCAAAGCAGCAGCGCTGCATGGAGCCCAGGTTCAGCGGGGGAACCCCCAGCTGATCCCAGGTTCCACGTGGCACTTTTGTCTTTAAAGTGTAGCAACAGCCCTAGGGCTGTTTCTACACGTCAAAGGAAGAGATGCTCTACCGACTAGTCGAACAGTCCATGCAAAAAGCATCGTCTATTCGATTAGTCAATTACCCGCAATTTAACATCCCTACTCTAGGCTGAGTACGTAAATTTTGTAGTGGTATTACTAAATATTAATGACCATTTTGCAAAGCATGATCCATCTAACAGGTTTTTGCATTTGTAATCTGAATATACATTTTCTGGTACATCGTAAAGGAAACTTTACAGAAATATGTTTCTGGTTTGCACAACTGAGGTGCTTATTATCATAATTCCACAGGTTAGAAATTCACATCTTAAAGATGAATTATTCTAAGTAAAATGTTATTTCTGGGACGTCACAAGTTCTCCAGTACAGAATCTGCAAGACACTCAGACTCCCTTCAGACAGAATCAAGACAGAATTATGAATTCCATGACAGATGTGTGTGTTGCTAATTGAACATATTTTAATATTATGTACATGCCTATTTATGTAAAACATTCCCTTAACTGTCAGCATGTGTGTAAAGGGGTTAGAAGGTGAGGGAGTGTAAAGTTTAATTTTCATGTCTACAACTTCCACATATAATGTAAACAATTTCAGTCTCACCTGCATTTGAAAAATTGTACTGATTATGGAAAGAGGGGAGTTATTCAAGTATATGTGAAAAGAAATAGGAGATAGATTTGTTGGCTGAACTCTAGAGGGCAATTAAATTCGTTAACTATATGATTCCTCATGGATGGCCCATTTAGATAATGTTCTGAGGGCTTTTTATTCCATCGCCTTGTTCTTCAAAAGATAGATTTATCAAGTGTTAAGTGAGGCAATTCAAAGAAAGCTTTCTATGTTCATGTAAGAATAAATTTCACAGTAAGAAGAGCTTAAATTCAGTCTTGGAACTCATTAGAATGTGGGGTGAATTGTGTCATCCAAATGTCCTAGCCAATATCCTGTAATCTTCACATGCTACATTACAATTCTGCTCACAGCCAGAATAAAGTTAGTTAGGTGACATGAGGTGTCTGGTACTGGAAAGGACAACGTGCAGTGTGTGCATTCAGGTTAAAGAAGAAACGTGATTACTAAGCCCCTCACATTTGGATATGTCAAGTTTAGTCTTTACAGGCGACAGAGATCTGACCAGACTGCAACAGATTTTTTTTTAAATAAATAAATTGTTGGCCATTTAAGTGACAGAGAAAAGAAAAGTAAATCTGGCCATATCCTCAGCAGAATAACAAATGCTGATTTGTTAGCTGCTCAGTCATTGAAAAAAAATCCCTAGAAATAAATCATGGCAGCAGAAAACCTAGGTTTTATTGGTCTTTTCATCAAACTAAATCCTTAGGTAAATCACTTCAAATAAAATAAAATTAAATGACTTTGAGCATATCCTGATTCATTCTAAAGATTCTAAGGTAGTATTTTAGGACCCAGTCCTGATATTTAACCAAGAACATAACTTTTAGCAACTTAAATAGAGCAAGACCAAGTCCTTAGAAAAGGAGTTGGCAATAATTTTTGACGAGAGGCCACTTTAGAAATTTTTGAAGTGGCCCCGAGCCGCCCCGCGGGGCCTCAGGTGGAAGGGGCAGGGCCAAGACAATTTCTGCTTCCCCACCCGCATAACCTGATTGGTCTGGGGGTGGAGGATCATGCAAAGTCTCTGTCATCCCCCACCCCACTCAGAGAACTGCCAGCTGTTCTGAACAGCTGGTGGTTCCCTCTAGGTACCCATGCACCTGGCATTGGGAGAAGACTTTGCACGCTCCCTCCCTGCCCCCAGGTCACTCAGGGTCTTTGGGGTAGGGAGAGCATGTGAAATCTCTCGTTCCATGCCCCCACCCTGCCAGGGAGTGCCGCGCTTAGAGTCAACCACCAGCTAAGCAGTAGCTGGCAGTTGACTTAAGTGTCAAACCCCTTGCAAGGCAGGAGGAGACTTTGCGTACCTCCCTCTTCCTCCCCAGGCCCTGATTGACCTGGGGTGGGGTAACGTCAGGGCTACTATGGGCCGGATCAACCCGCTTGGTGGGCCGGATCTGGCCCGCGAAGGCCCAGATCCATTCTGTGGAGGCCCTTTTGTCCGACCCTGCCTTAGAACAAGGGCAGGCAATAGTTTAGGCAGGGAGGCCACTTCAGAAATTTCTGAAATGGCTCCCTGGCCACCCCAGAAGGAGTAGGACCTCAGGTGGAAGGGGTGGGGTCAGGACACTTCTGTGCTTCCTAGCCCACAAACCCTGATTGGCCTGGGAACGGGAGGGTGGCAGGGCATTCATGGGCTGGATCTGGCCCGCGGACGCCCTTTTGCCCACCCCTGCCTTAGAAGGAGTAAGGACTGAACACTATGGATTCGGTTTAGCAACCACATCTGTATATGCAGAACCACTTGCAGGTTCTAAGCATTTGAACTTTTGTAACTGGTGCCCAATCTTACAAACTGATCTGTGTTCAAATGCCACTTGGTGAGGAGTATGCATATATTCCTGCAGGCAAAGCTCTGATGCAGATCAAATGACAACAAAATCATAAGAGGAAAAAAAAATCTAAACTGACATAACACAAAGAACAGTAAAAACTTCTCTTTTGAATGGTTCTGAAAGGTGTGTACAAAGCAAATGAAAACTATGTGCCTACACAGTACATAAGAGTGACTTACTTCTCCCACCACTTCAATGATGTCACCAACTTTTAACTCCAGTTCATCTTCATTCTGGGGCATGTAACTGAAAGCCACCTGACATCGTCTCCTCCGATTTCTCTCCCCTAGACGGAGATGAAAAAATAGAGCAAATGTTTAGATGAAAACAAACAAAATGAAGCTCCTAGAAAAAGCAAACCAGCTACACAACCCCTGAACTGACTTCATGGGAGAACATCAAAGATGAAGCAGCATTTCACTATTATAAATAAGCACTGTTAAAAATTTTGAGTGTTTGCAATGCCTAATGAATGTGCCTAGAATCAATTTACAAAATACCAATAGAGAGGTATTACCACAGAGCATTCTTCTCCTTCCATCTATTATTGTTCTTGAATTTAATTTATACAACAGGATATTCAAGAAAGAATAAATTGTCATTCTTCTACTACAGACTGAATCTCTCTAGTCCAAAACTCTCTGGTCTGGAAACATCCATGGTGCAACATGATATCAGTTAGCCAGATGTCGGCTTATCATGGCTGTGGCCAAGTTTCCCTTGGTCCCATAAAGTTTGTTTACAGCCATCAGAGTCCTGGCTCTCAGTGTTCTGTGCTGTTATTTAGCTCTCATTTACCACTAAATGTCCTCTAGCAGCCCACTAAGCAATGGAAGTGTTGGTAATGCTGCTAGACCATACTGATCTCCCATGGTCTGGAAAATTCTCTGGTTCGGAACTGATCAGGTCCCAAGGGAGCCAGACTAGAGAAAGGTTAAACTTGTACTATCACTTTCTTCCTCCTCTTCTCTTTTTAATGCATCAGCCCATCAGTAGGTCCATCACATATATATTTATACTTGTGCACTAATCTAAATGTAGGGTATTGATTTAAATGCAGCCAGGTAAATGGCAAGACTGAGTTTTGGAATACTGCTTGCTAAACAAATACAGGCAGTCCCCGAGTTACGCGGATCCGACTTATGTCGGAGCCCCGTTTGTAAGTGCGGATTTCTCTCCCCGGAGCTCGCAGGCAGCGGGACCGCCCAGAGCGCAGCGGTCCCACCATCTCTACCTCCGGGGCAAGAAAAGCTGCTCCCGGTGTCCCTAGTCTGCTGGAGACGGTCCCCAGCAGACCAGAGGCACCGGGAGCAAAGCGGCAGCAGCAGTGGAGTCCCCTGCCTCTGAGGCTTTGCCAGAGCAAAGCCTCAGAGGCTCTGCTCCCCGTGTCCCTGGTCTGCTGGGGAAGGGGGGGCGCAGCTAGGGTGCTCCCCCCCCCCCCCGAACACCCG